AAGCTCAGCACCCCCAGGCACAGCACCCCCAGTCACAACACCCCTAGGCTCAGCACCCCCAGGCACAGCACCCCTAGGCTCAGCACCCACAGCAGCACCAGAGTCACCAGTGACCTCGATAGGCTCGACCGCGTCTACCTGGGACACACCTGAAGGGGCAGGACCCTGAGGGGGGAGGGGGTCTACCGGGGGGGGACCTGGTACCAAGAAGAGCCGGGGGGGGGGGAGGGACGGAGTGCGGTAGGGGAAGAGGCGGTAGTAGGGTACCGACTCGTCGAACGTGACGTTCTGGGAGGACAGAACACGGCGAGAGGTGGGGTGGTAGAACTGCCACCCAGGGGCGTCGGGGGGGAACCCCAGGAAGACGCAGGGAGCAGCGCGAGGGGACAGCTTGTCCGCAGACAAGTCGCGGACAAACGCCCGAGATCCCCAGACCCGGAACGCCGACGCATCGCCAACCTTCCCCGTCCACAGCAGGGCTGGGGAGGTCTCCGGCCTGGAGACCCTGGGGTGGAGGTTGATCTGATGCGCCGCGTACCACACCGCAAACGGCCACAGAAAATGGGGAGCAGCCGCATGCATCATAGATGTACGAGCGACGTCCATGACCATGCCAATGCGGCGCTCTGCAATCCCATTCTGCTGCGGTGAGTCCGGAAGCGTGAAGGTCTGACGGATGCCTCGCGCACGACAGTAGGCACGCAGAAGGCCAGAGGAGAACTCTCCGCCTCTGTCCGAGTGCAGACGCAACACACGAAAGTCCGAGCCAAAGCTCTGCCTGAGCTCGAGACGAGCTGCGCGGATCCAGTCGATCAGCACCTCAGTGACATCACCCTTGCTGCACAAGGGGAAGACTGTGGTGTAACGCGAGTAGTCGTCAACCACCAACTGGAAGTAGCGCTCGTGACCAAATACACGGACGCGGGCAGGGCCCCACACGTCCATGTGAAGCGTCTGCAACGGAGCCTCTGTCGGAGGGAACTGGGAGGAGTGAGGGGCAGCACGCTGGCGCCCCTCGACACAGGGGACACAAGTAGGGCCAGGGCTCTGAGGAAGGGGAGGGAGGGACCGGGGAAGGCCAGACACAAGAAGACAGGAGGCCATGCCTCTGAGCCGAAGCAGAGAGGGGTGACCCAGGCGGTGGTGCCAGAGGAGAGTCTCGTGAGACAGGCGACGACACGAACAGGGGGCAGACTCAAGACCAGACCTGGACGCTGCAGCAAACACCTGACCTGACGAAGGGACCCTACCAGACTCGGGAACTGGAGGAGAAGCAGTGGTCAGTGTGTACAGGCTCGACCCTGGCTGACGTGTAAATGTAGCCAGGTGACGACCGGTGCTAGCCTCTGTGCAGTGCGTCACTCGCTGACGAGCAGGGGTGAACTGGTGGACTCCCGCATCCTGTAGGTCAGCACCACTCACCAAGTTGGTAGAGAACGAGGGGAGGTCAGACAGGGTGCCAGAGGGAGCCGCCGGACACGGGAGGACTGTGGAGAAGCGAGACAGGAAAGGACCCCTAGAGGGGTCAGCCAGGGACACCGCAACCGGCCGACTAAGCGGCGTGAGTGTGCCAGACAGACAGGGTGCCAGAGGGAGCCGCCGGACACGGGAGGACTGTGGAGAAGCGAGACAGGAAAGGACCCCTAGAGGGGTCAGCCAGGGACACCGCAACCGGCCGACTAAGCGGCGTGAGTGTGGTGCAGTCCCGAAAGAAGGAGCGAGACGCTCCAGAGTCAAGGGTGAAGGTGTGGGAGGCCGAAGCCGACACAGTACCTGAGAGCGCAGACTCACTAGTACCTGAGAGAGCAGCCTCACCAGTACCTGAGAGCACCGACGCACTGGCACCTAGAGCAGAAGCCTCGCGGGCACCTAGAGCAGCAGTACCAATGCCCGGGTCGGGCGGGAAGCACAGGTAGCAGTCACCCTCATCACTAACGGTCACAGCATACATGGCAGCAAGGATAGCATCTAAGTCAAGATCAAAGATAGCTACACCAGCCCTAGACAGCTCTCCCTAGCGGGGGATCTCCGCAGCCTCCGGGAACTGCTGGCGCCAAGCGTCCGTCAGGCGGCCAAAGCAGCGCTGGACGGTGTGGGTACCCCCACACTGCTCTCCAGCGCGGTCGCCAGTGCGAAGAACGTAGGTGCAGGGACCAAAACCCCCACCATACTGACGCTGCGTGTACCACTCACGGAGCTGCTGAGGGGTGGGGACGTCACGAGAACGCTGCTGCTGCTGCTGCTGGCGCTGGCCACCCCCAGTGCTGCTCCGCTGCGAAGTGCCACTCCGACCACCTCCACCACTGCCACCCCCGCCTCCGCCTCCACCGCCCCCGCCTCCGCCTCCACCGCCACCGCCTCCGCCACCTCCGCCCCCACCGCCACCGCCGCCGCTACCCCAGCCTCCACTGCCGCCACTAGCACCCCCACCCCCGCCACCACCTCCACCGCCACCCCCACTCCCCCCGCCGCCTCCACCTCCACCTCCACCGCCTCCGCCGGCCCCACCCGCTCCCTTGCCCCCCTTGCCCTTGCCAGAGAGGCGTCTCCCGCTGGGGGCAGACGCCGCACCGACCGACTCAAGACCAACGAGGTCGACCGCAGCGACAGAGGCGACAGAGGGCAGGAGAGGGGAAGGAGAACACCCCTCAAAGATGGGGGCGCGGGGGTCACCCCGAGAGGCTCCTACAGCGACTATGCTCTTCTCCGCCGCTAGGAGGGCCTTCTCGAGGCTGTCGACTGTGAGGGTGGTGGGACAGACTGCTAGGAAGTGGTCCCGGACTACACGAAGGGAGTCAGGGAGGCGAGTGACTAAAAAGTAGAGAGTGATGTACATGGGGGGGGGGGTTCTTGGCGCAGAAGTCAACAGGAAGCGCAGCGCGGTAGCGCGTGTCACTAGTGTGGAGGTGCGTAATGAGATCAGCGACAGTGGGAAAGGCGGCAAGGTCAGGGAAGAGGAAGGGGAGCATGAGGCGGCTCAGTGTAGCAGTGGCAGGGGAGGAGTAGCGCGCAACTACAGCGTCGTACAAGGTCTGGGCACTCTTGTACTGGCTAAAGTGCGCGCGCTCAGCAGTAGGCAGGTGGCGACGCACAGCAAGACGTGCAGCAGCATCGCGTGTGGCCCACTGTGAGCGAACAGTGGCGTCAGCATCAGCAGCAGGGGCAGGGACAGCTCCAGAGGTGAGGTCAAAGAGAGAAAGACCGTCTGCCCTATCGCACTGTAAAAACAGCTGCAGGTCGTCGAGCCAGACCTCAAAGTCAACGGCACGACCCTCAGCGTCTAAAGCTAGGACACTAGGGGTAGCCATGACGATAGACTAGCAGTGCAAGCAGTGTGGGAAGGGGCACGCAGTAGCAGTGGAGCTGTGCTCACCAGACAGGACGGGTCGGGCAGCTCAGCAGTACAGCAGCACGGCAACACAGCAGCTCTGCCGGCCCAGTAGCAACAGCAGCCACAGAGGACCAGCAGCTCGGCTCCTCAGGCTGCTCGGGCGGCTCGGGCGGCTGGGGCGGCTCGGGCGGCTCGGGCGGCTCGGGCGGCTCGGGCGGCTCGGGCGACTCGGGCGGCTCGGGCGCTCAGCGGTACAGGCGGCTCGGGCGGCTCAGGTGGCAAAGGTGGCTCGGGCGGCTCGGCTCGTCAGCTGCGTAGGCGGCTCGGGCGGCTGGGGTGACGCGGGTGGCACGGTCGTCTCGGGCGTCGAAGGGCCGGAACAGCGTGGCGTGAGGGCGGCTGGGAGCTGGACCGGGGTGGGCGGCTCACGGGTGGCTCGGGGCCGGGACAGGCGGCTCACGGGCGGCGCACAGGCGGCTCACGGGCGGTTCACGGGTCGCTCACGGGCGGCTCACGGGCGGCTCACGAGCGGCTCACAGGCGGCTCACGGGCGGCTGACGGGTGGCTCACGGGCGGCTCACGGACGGCGCACGGGCGGCTCATGGGCGGCGCTGCAGGCGGCTAAGGGCGGCGCACGGGTGGCTCACGGGCGGTTAAGGGCGGCGCGTGGGCGGTGCGTGGGCGGCCTGAGGCCTGGCGGGTGGCGCGCGGGCGGCTAAGGGCGGCGCGCAAACGGCGCGTGGGCGGCCTGGGGCCTGGCGAGCGGCGCGCGGGCTGTTTAGGGCGGCGCGCAGGCTGCCTAGGGCGGCGCGCGGGCTGCTAAGGGCGGCGCGCGGGCTGCCTAGGGTGGCGCGCGGGCTGCTAGGGGCGGCGCACGGGCTACACGGGGCCTGGACGGGCGGCGCGCTGGTGGCGTGAGGCCTGAGCGGGCGGCGCGCGGGCGGCTAGGGGCCGATCGACAGAAGTAAGAGAGGGCCCGGAGCACGCTCCGGGCAGAAAAAAAAAAAGTTCGAAGTAGTGGTGGGCCCTAAGCACAGTTCCCACAGGGGAACCTGCTCGATACCATGAGAAGAATAGAACGAGAATGAAATGACTATGAACGAAGTGAGTACAAATAGGAAACCCTAATTGGGTTGTACCCCCTATGGGATACCCCACTATAGCCTACACAAATAAGTAAGCTATAATGTTCTGACACATGAACGAGGAGTTTAGGCAATTTTTTAATAATTGCGTGATCGTTTACCTAGACGAGATCCTGATCTACAGTCGCGATATGCAGCGGCATTTACCGTATAGTGTCGGCTATAAGACCCGCCAGTATGAAGGCCCCCCGGGACTCTTGGATGGGTAGTTGGACTCTTATTGTGGCAGGTTTTTTGAGGACCCCACCTTTGCCCATTATCATCATAAGAACCCCCCACCCTTCCCTTAAGTGCCCTTTCCAATCTGGTGAAGTTAACTGTTAAACCTACACACACATCTCTTCACTTCATCGTCACTAGATCTAGGCATTACATGGTCAAGGTGGCTACGGTACCAGCACTCTACGTTACTGGCCCAAACATCTCTACCACCCCCCTACTCCTCACTCTTTGTCCGCGTCCTCCTCCAGCCCACCCTCTTCCTCCTCCTCCTCGTCTTCCTCCTCCTACCACCCCCCTACTCCTCACTTTTTGTCCGCGTCCTCCTCCAACCCACCCTCTTCCTCCTCCTCCTCGTCCTCCTCCTCCTCGTCCTCCACCTCCTTCTCCTCCTCCTCCTCCTCCTCCTCCTCCTTCTCCTCCTCCTCCTCCTCCTCCTCCTCCTCCTCCTCCTCCTCCTCCTCCTCCTCCTCCTCCTCCTCCTTTGCATCCATCTGGCCCTTTGCCTATGCATGGACGACGACTCCTGCACAAGAAAGGACGCTCATGGTTAAAAATCTGCCACAAGTATTAACAAAACAGAAGCGTGAACCGATTGCAACTCACCTGCAGGGACCCGACTTTTCGGGATAGTTTTGCGCTTGAAGATCACCATGACAGGGAGCTTGCGGCCGTCCGCGGTGATGCGGAGCATCACTGTCACCCTCTCCTTCCCATAGCACGCGCTCCTGACGTGCACAGTCTTCTTGCCGCGGTGATGAAGGGTGCGCTCGTTCGGCATCTCCAAGAACATCGGCGATTGGTCGGCATTTGTAATATTCCAGGGATCTATGCCATGCTTTATTACGTTCTTTGGTGTGAACGCCCAAAACTCCAAGCACTTCGACTTGCACTCTGCCACGAACGTTTACATCAAGATAGTTGGACATTAGTTATGGCAGTGGGTTGGACATTAATGTCACATGGCGTGGACCAAAGTATGGAAGCACACTGAGGTCGCGAACTACACGAATAACTCACCTTTAGCAAGACGCTTGCCCATCGTTGCGCGCACGGAAGCGGTAGGTCCACCTGTTGGACGCCATCCACCTCACGCCCGGGTAATGGGCCTTCATATAGCACCTGTTCCAATGCTTGATGAGCCGGATAGGGACGGCCAAGCCACGGCCGCGAAAGTTCAGCAGCCTCATGTATGCATGTGCCTCCATGTCAGGGTACTTCACCTTCCTCCCGCCCCCACTGAGGCGGCGCCTGGATGGTGCCGCTTTCTTTCTCCGTTCTGCCGCCCTGATCCACCGGCGGGCGCTGACTGGCTGCACCCCGGTGTGGCGGACAGAGAGTTTCTCCATGTCCATCTGCGCGAGCTAGTTCTGTTTCTCTCCCATCGTTTGCGCCTTGCGGCTGTGTGTAGTCTTGTGTGCGCGGGAACTCGATGACGCACTGTCAGCCCTGGATCGCGACCCGTTCTCGTCGTGGATGAGATCCTCAGGAAACGTCGGTACCGGGAAAGCCCAGACGTCGTTGTCCATCTCCTCATTCGTAGCGTTCTCCTCATCCTTGGCGGCGGGATCGGGAAACCCCTCGTCCTCGACGGGTTCTAACGGAGGGTTGGTGCACCAGTCGACGAAGGCCGGGGAAGCATAGGGGGGGGTGAAGGCACAGGAGGAACCGGGGGGGGCGGAGGTGTCTTCGGTGCAGGTGGAGCTGGCGGGGCCGGGCTTGTGATGAGCACGATAGCTTGCTGGCCAGACGAACTGCCTAAGCTTGAACGGCACGAACGCCATGGGCTTTCGAAAACCGACATTGCTAATAGCTGCTACTATTCTAATGGTAACTGCTTGCTTGAGTGGCAGCCGCCATAGCGTGCTATGTAGATGTGAAGGAAGGTGGAGTGGCGGATCAGGATGTGAGACAGGGAAAAGAGAGAAATGAAGCTTGCGGCCTCCCGTGCTCGGCAGACTATGAGACGTGAAACCCTAGTGCACCACGTCCAATGCCTCTGCTGCCACTGAGACAAGATGGGGTGCTTATGGGCCCCATGATGTGGCCATCTTGACGGCTGGTTCCATCAAGATGATGTGCGGTGCGTGAATAGGGGCGTTCAATCCGCCCTCGTGCATTGAAGTACGCCACGCGTTGTTCGCGACGTCACACACGTGGTGCTCCAAGTGAGCGATTTTGACCGGTTAGAAGTGTGAGTTATTTCATGACCGGTTAGAATTTCTGGGGCACGTCATTTTGGAGGCTGAGGTTGAGATTGACCCGAAGATGTTAGACACGGTCATAGCGTGGCGTCCCGCGACCAACATCACGGAACTGCAAAGCTTTCTAGGGTTCGTAATTACGTCCGTTGGATTGTCTCCGACATGGCGCCCTTAACAGCTCCACTGAAAGATTTACTGCGGAAGGGGGTGGCGTTTCCTTGGGGGGAGAAAGAGCATGCTGCCTTATCTGCCATGGAAACTGTTCTCTATTCACCGTCCGTTCTGCGCATCGCCGACCCCCACCGCCCATTCGAAGTAGTTACATACGCCAGCGACATCGCCATCGGAGCCATACTGCTACAAGATTTCGGCAATGGCCAACAGCCCATCGCATACAAGTTTTGAAAACTGCATCCGTCAGAGAAAATTTACCCGATACACGACCGCGAAACGCTCGCGATCGTGCATGCATTCAAATGCTGGCGCTGCTACTTGACTGGCGCCGACATGACAGTACGGATAGATCACAAATCACTACAGTACCTTCGCGCACAGCCCCACCTCAACCCACGACAGAGGTCCGCTGGCTCGATTTCATCGAGTCAAATTTCCACTACACAGTCACCTACAAAAAGGGGGCATCGAACATCGCTGACGCACTAACCCGCCTCACTAGCCAGATACACACCATACCACTTGCCCAAACCAGCCCACTGCTCACATGACTATTTACCCACAAACCAAGCAGACTTGTTCTTCACTGGAGGAAATTCGCAGCAGCAAAGGGGGTGTATTACGTAAAACTGGCACCGATAGGATCTGGGTACCGGGCTACACTTTACTACGGGAATTTCTAGTACAGGAGGCACGTGACGGTGTTATCACATGACATTTTGGAGTAAATAAAACACGGAAGCAGGTGCAGCGATATTATTACTGGTCCGAGATGCCGACCGACGTTCAACGACACGTGGCATCGTGTCCCACCTGCCAGATCATGAAGTCGTCACGCAGCAACCAGCAGGAGAGTTGCAGCCGATACCACCCCTAGAGCGTGCGTGGCAGCAGGTGACGATGGACTTCGTCACGGGGATACCGGCCGGAGAAAGTGGGAACGACGCTATCCTGGTCGTCGTCGATCCGCTGACCAAGACGGCATATTTTACTGCCTGCAAGAAATCAATAACGGCCGAAGAAACTGCCTGACTCTTCATCTCTACCGTCATTCGACTGCACGGGATACCAGCGGCAATTATTAGCGATCGTGACACAAAGTTCACCAGCAACTCTTGGAGGAACCTGTGGCAGCAGTTCGGTACGCAACTACAGTTCAGCTCATCGTACCACCGCGAAACAGGCGGACAAACAGAACGGACAAACCAGACCATGGAACAGTTGATCCGAGCCACGTGCGACGATCCGGCAACATGGGAGCAGCAACTGCCTCTCATCAAATTCACATACAACAACTCCACATCGGCCAAGATGTAGCAGTCACCATTCTACCTCAACTACAGACAGAGCCCCACTGTGCCCATGACTCCGAATCCCGACAACCCAGCACCACGTGCGCAACTGTTTGCGGAAATCCTACAGGCAGCACGGACCCGGGCACAATTAAGAAATCGAACATCATCGCTAAACGCACCGCCGACAGCCACCGCCGCCCCGTCACATACCAACGCGACGACCTCGTACTCCTCGACACCCAAAACCTCCGCCTGCCCATTACTCCAAAACTTTGCCCTCGATATTGTGGACCATTCCGCATTAGCCACTTGATCCTTCTTGTCACTGCCCACCTCCTCCTCCCTGCTGGCTGGTACATCAGCCCGTCATTCCACGTCAGCTTACTCCGCCCATACATCCGATCCACCAGCCAACCGCCTCGCAACCGCCCAGCCAGCATGAAACAACCGCCAACAGAGCCAATTGTCAGAATATGATATTGTGTAGGCTGTAGTGGGGTATGCTGTAGTGAGTACAACTCTGTTAGGGTTTTCTACTTGTATCCCACCTGCCTATTAGTCAAACTCTCTTTTGCCTATTCTCCTTGCTAAACCCTAGCTATGGCTCCTGCGTTCTAACTTCTATATCAACATGCTATCAGAGCGGTTACGCTCCTGGCCTGTGGGCCCGCCTACTTCCGCTACCATACTATCTTTCGCGCGCCCCGTGGCGCGCGACGTTCTTTTTTCTTCCGGCCACGGACTCGGGGCGCGTCGCGGTTTTCTGCCCACCACGCGCTCGAAGCGCGTGGCGGTTTCGTCACTCCTCACGGCGCCCCCGCGGCCCGCGCGCTGACCCCTCTTGTCGCCCGTCGCGGCGTCCCAGGGGCCCGCGCGTCGCCCCCCTCTCCTATCGCCCGTCGCGGCGCCACGGGTGCCCGCGCGCCGCCCTACCCGTCGCCCGTCGCAGCGCCCTGGGGCCCCGCGCGTCGCCCCCCCCCCTCCCGTCACCCGTCGCGGCGCCCTGAAAGCCCGTGCGCCGCCCTGCCCGTCGCCCGTCACAACGCCCCAGGGACGCCCCACTTCTACTCACACGACGCCCCAGCTGCTGCCCGCGTTTCTGCCCCGTGTCGTGCGCGCGCCGCCTGCGTTGGGGTGTGGGGTGGCGGGTATGGGGGTGGCGGGTGTGTGAGCCGTCCCCTGCTCCTCCTCCTCCTCCGTCTCCCACTGCTGCAGCTGCCGCTGAGGGGGGTGGGTGTGTGGGAGCCGAGGGAGTGGTGCTAGGGGGGTGTCGTGGGAGTGGAGCTACGGGTGCAGCAAGGGGTGTGTGAAATGTGAAGAAATGAGGAAGGAATGAATGAACTAGCAAGTAGGTGGGTACAAGTAGGAAAACCTAAAAATGTTGTACCCCATATTGTCTACCCCACTCTAGCCTACACAGGCTATAGCATATGAGTTCGACACACCCCCATAGGCAAAGTGGGGGAGAAGAAGAGGTCACAAGACCAGTCAAGCAAAGCAAAGCAAGCTCAGGGTGGATCACAACGTCACCACACAGTCCGAGCACAAGAGCGAGGCCACAAGGCCAGTTCACATGCAAGATCATATATAAAGGTAAACAAGCAAGTGCAGGTATAGAAAGATCACAGTACAAGCAAGGTCAAGAAGTGAGCAAGTGAGGCCAAGTAGGCACAAGACCTAGCAAAGTACAGAAGGGCTGATGATCACAAGGCGGAAGTGCCTTGATAAAGATATCAGCAGTGTTGGCCTCAGAGGCCACGTAAGCAAGGCGCAGCTGACCACGCTGCAGCAACTCACGAGCAAGGAAGTAGCGAAGAGCAATGTGCTTCGTTCTGTGCTCCAGTCTGTGCTCCCGACACAAGGCCAGCATGGCCTTGTTGTCTACGTACAGAACTGGAGGAGAACGAGGCGGCTCTCCTAGGTCAGTCAGCAGGTAGGTGAGCCAGCGTAGCTCCTGTGCAGCCATGGCCCCCGCGTAGATCTCAGCCTCACAGCTGGAGCTGAGAACAGAAGACGAGCGGGTAGACCGCCACGAAACAGAGCCGGAGCCAAGGGTGGAGGTGTAACTCTGTGACGACCGCTGCGTAGCCTGGTCGTCAGCCCAAGAAGCTTCTGCATGACCTGTGGGGACCACTCGATGTCGCCCTCCAAGCACTAGCCCCATGCCCATCGTACTGCACAAGTAGTGCAACACCCTCTTCGCTGCAGCCATGTGCTCTGGTCGGTGTCTCCCAGGAGCAACATAGCGTGCCAAGATGCTAAGAGGGTATGCTAGGTCAAGTCATGTGCAGGTTATCAGGTACAAGAGGCAGCCAACAAGCTCTGGGTATGGGCCACTCGACTCTACGGACTCATCCGAAGGCAGAGCTGAGAGAGAGTGGCGAGTAGAGAGAGAGGAGTGGCCAGCGGCGAGGAGTACGTGAAGTCGAAGCGCTGAAGGACCTGCTGCACCATGTGTGATTGAGTCAGGGTCATGGTGCGCTGTGCTCTGTCCCGGGTGATCTGCAAGCCAAGGTACCTGCGCAGTTCACCCAAGTCTGTGCACGTGTGTCTCTTCTGCAGCTTGGTCTTTACGTGGGCGAGTCCAGCAATGTCAGCAGTGGCAAAGACCAACTCGTCGACGTACACGAGGATGTAGAACGGCGGCAAAGAGGTGTCGGTGCGCATAAACAGCGACGGGTCGGATGTAGAAGGAGCAAACCCAAGAGCCGCAAGTGTAGTCCTCAGTGTGTCGTGCCACTCACGGGGCGCCTGGCGGAGACCGTAGACTGGCCGCTGGAGGCTCCACTGGGTACCAGGAGGAAACGACCCAGTGAAGCCAGGTGGGCGGCGCAGCCAGATCTGCTCGTGCAGGCTGCCCTGTAGGAAAGTTGTGCTGAAGTCAAGAGTGTGAAGCTCGTAGTCGCGCTGAGCGGCTATGTGCAGCAGCACCCGAAGAGTGGTCATCTTCGGTGTGGGAGAGAAGGTCTGAAAGTAGTCAACTCCCTGCCGATAACTGAAGCCTCGAGCCACGTAACGCGCCTTGAAGACAGGCGGAGAACCCGGCGGCCACTTCACCCTGAAAATCCACATGCCACTGACGATGTTCGCCCCAGGTGGGAGAACCTCGTC